TGTGTGTGTGTGTGTGTGTGTGTGTGTGTGTGTGTGTGTGTGTGTGTGTGTGTTTGTGCTTGAGTGGGAGTCGCTGACAAACGGCAAGATGTGCTGCAGTTAATGAGCCACTGTGTGGCAGCAGCTGCCCTGTTTATTCTCCAACATGCACAGCTAGAGAAAATAAAGTGTTTTATCAATCAGGTAGCTAACTGTACACATGTTAATAACTGTGGATTTGTGAGTGTGTTTTATGATGTTACTGTATGTAGGCAAGCTTTTTGCGAAAGGATGCTCAGGATCTGTGTGGTTGCACAGGTTAGATGGACTAGTGCACTGGGGTGATGCGAGAAGACATGAAATACTTAAGAACACAATCGTGATTCACTGCACACCTGAAGGCAGCTCACATCCATCTACAGTATGACTCACTTAGCAGACCCACTGAGGCTTTCGGTCCTTTCTTATGGAAATAAAAGTGCATTATTTGAGCGACTTTCCATCACCAACTTGAACCCACTGCTGCACGTGGTCAGCATACTGCTGAGAGCTTCTGCGTCTGTCCTCTTATCAGGGCTGGCAGCATTCTCAGCTAAGAAGTCAAATCCTGCCCGAGGTTTTAGCCGAGCAGCTTCCTGTCAGGATTTATTTTCACCGCCATGTCACTCATATCTCTGAGATGAGTTTGGGGTGACAGTGGAGTTGAAAACTGATGCTGATTATTGTTGACAGACGATCACATAGCCAGAAGTTGGACTTTAGGAGTACTTGAAAGTCGATGCAGGGGTCCTAAAATGCCCAGTTTGTTCACATTGATCATTTAAATCACGGTCATCTCCAGTTTCACCTGTTTTTACTGGATTCCACTCGGGTACTTTAGCACGACTTAACTTTCTTTGGATTGGTTGCCCCTCGCAAACAGCAGGTGGGTGGGGCATCTGTGCTCACAGACAGAGCAGTGTGCATGAGATGACCATACGGAGTACATTCACTCTCTTTGACGTCATACAGAGACAAAAGCAGGAAACAAAATATTTGAAGCTGAGCATTTAGAGCAATCTTTGCTCTCTAGGACTATCTGCACATATGCAGACTTCATTATTTGAGTCTGCCAAAGGAAAGTCCCCTTAAGTCCGATCTGGTGAGTCAGAAAGTCATAACTAGGTCTTGTCTGGTTACTAATTTGAGGTCGCAAGTCTTTATCAACCCCCCAAACACTCTCATTAAAAACAGTATACGGTATCCTGCAGGGACATCAAACTCATCTCAGTTTGGGCCACACACAGCCCACTGTGATGTTAAGTGGGTCAGACCAGTAAAACTCCCTCTACTTCAATGTAAAGAAGTTTCACTGAACATTCAATACCTGAAATATCCTAATATTAAAAAAAGTGATTTCAACAGTATGTATTGATTTTTCTACACAATAAAGAAATAATTAAAAATAGAAATACTTAAAAGCAAATTTAAAAATAATTAAATGTGTCAGCATGATTCTTTGGAAAAAATAAAGAAAATAAGTTGAAAAAATTAATTTAGTTGCTCAATGACCAAACAAATTTCTACAGGAACTTTTCAGTGATTTAATTGTTCCTCTCTTACTTAATTACTTTGATGTAGTATGAATTTATCAAAAGCTGTAAAACTGAAGAAAATCCAGTTAAAAGTTCATAATTTATGGGCTCCACCCCTACCTTAGTGGAATGACTGTTTCTACAGCAGGAGTGGAGTGAATATGCTAATGACAAACAAATGTTTTACCTGTGACTTCAGAAAGGTAAAAGCTAAAACTAAGAATTAATTGATTCAGATTTTAAATCCCCAGGATTACTCTGTGTGTGTTTTTATATGTATTGTTTTCCTCAAATACTGTTTCTTCTTCTTGTTTTTCGGAAATCATCGCGCTTCGATTTGTATTTGCTCCTCCACTGGCCCCTAGTTTGCATGAAGCTGCCAGCTGGGCCGTTCAGTGAACGCACCTCCCTCTTCCTGAGTGGCTTTTCCACTTGTTTTGTGCAGCAACACTGAAAGGGAGCGTCTGCTGGTTGAGTTTAATCGGCCTCAGCCCAGTCCCCGGGTCAGGACCTTCAGTGCGCACAGGAGCAGGGGCTTCGCTTAGGATTTAGACCACCTCCGCTGCAAAGAGCACATTAGGAAGAAGCAAAGCAGCAGCAGCAGCGTTTCTCACGGACTGGTCTCCACAGCAGGGCGGGGGGTGGGTGTTTTTTTAATTTTTTTAAGAGGGTTCCTCTCATTCACACATAATCTTCCTCGGCAGCATCCTGAGGAGGCTTTCTAGTTATTTCCACAGTAAACCAGCAACAGGTTGAGCAGCAGCAGCAGCGTGAATGCGAGTGAAGCCGAACATGCCGAGCAAAAGCCAGTATCTGCGCCCCCGGCTGTGCACGCTGGAGAAGGGGGACAACGGCTACGGCTTTCACCTCCACGGGGAGAAAGGTAAGACGGGCCAGTTCATCCGGTTAGTGGAGCCCGACAGCCCGGCAGAGACCTCCGGGCTCCGTGCTGGCGACCGGCTGGTGTACGTGAACGGGGAGGACGTGGAGAACGAGAGCCACCAGCAGGTCGTGTCCCGGATACGAGCCACCGTGGGCTGGCTGGAGCTCATAGTGGTGGACCCGGACACGGAGCAGCTGCTGAAGAAGCACAACTTGAAGTGCCTGAAAGCTTTTGTCACCGACGGAGTCCCCCTACCCTTCGAGGAGGAAGAAGTGGAGGAGGTGGTAGTGGTGGAAAAGGAGGAGGAGAAGACTGAGGAGGACGAGGTAGTGGTGGAGGAGAAGCAGGCGGATGGAGAAGTGAACGGGACAGAAAACGGAGATGAGCCGCGAGAAGAAGAGGTGGTGGAGGAGGTGAAGCAGGAGGAGACACCTGAGGAAACGACACCTGAGGAGACGACACCAGAGGAGACACCTGAAGAGACGCCCAGAGAGTCCACGCCGATCCCAGAGACTAACGGGCAAATCCACGGACACGTGGAGAAGAAGCTGAGCATCAGCTCTGAGAAGGTGAGACACATGAAACTGGTAAATTCCCGCATTTCACGAGAATTTTCGTGCACCAAGTTTTGCCATTTCTGCGTTGTGCAAATGTTTCACTATAAAATCAGGCACCAGGTTTCCCACAGATCAAAACTTTCCCCCATATCTTTTCAAAATAAAAGCCCCTCTTTCTGTGGTTTTATTCCAAGCATCCCCACCCACAATCTATGCCTATGCCAATGATGGCACTTGGATATAAGTGCTGATAACTGCATCAAAGCTCCCTGCTTTTACCCAGGTACTGTTTCATGCAGATAATAGGTGCTCTGTGTCAGCTGCATCCACGTGTTGCCAGGTTGTGGGCAGGCTTTGCTGGCAGGGCATTTGCTGTGGGTGAAAGGCTTGAGATCACGAAAACAGGGCCTCAAACTGTGCCTTTCTTCTCCCAAATAACTGATTTCCTAATGTTTTTCACAGTGCTGAGAGATACAGGACTTATATTGCCAATGCCAATATTTTTAAGCTATAAAGGCAGCTTATGTAGGGGAGAGCAGTGTGTCATGAGATGAATCATCATCAGTCTGAAGACATTTCATGACCACTAAATCACTGTGATGTTTACTTTCTACAATTCATTTTGTTGTGTTATCTAACACAAAAAAATCAAACCTTTCAGCTTTGCTACGATACCAATACCAACGATCGATATTTGTACCAATCTGATCATCTTTTTTTCTGGCGTTAAAGAGAATTTACTTGAAAATGTGAGGACAGTGACACATTGAAGTTGAGCAGTTTAAAAAAAGAAAAAGAGGAAAAAATGTACCCTCAATGTAGAAAACCACAAAAAACAAATGACTTACATTTGTGAGCCATCCACAACAATCACCAGGAAATAGTTTAGTTCCCACTCCCCTTTTAAAAAAAAAAATGAAACAAAATGAAGCCCACTAAGTGCCTTTTTTTCACCCTTTGATCTTTTTCTCTTTAAAAATTAGGGACATGTTCTCAATCTGCGTCAGCCACTTGTTGTTTCCCGAGTGTAAGCACTCAAGAGGACGAGGGTCCCTGCAGTCTGGAACATCTGTGTCCCTCGCTGCAGCGTCTCGGATGTTTATCCCTGAGGCTGTTTGCGTCTGTGTGCGGTGCTCATCCTCCGTACATAACTGTGGGTGGAAAGAAGGGTCATAATAGCCAGCAGCCGTCGCAAAGAGACAAAGAGGGACCGGCTAAGCTTTCATTTTTTCCTTAATATAATAATCATCATCTTCTGCGGGTGAAGTGTTAAGTGCTGATTAATTGGAAGATGTTTCCATTAACACTTAATTGCGAGACGGCTTCTTTCTTTTTCCTTCACAGGTGTTAAAAGATAAAACAAACAGGCGATGACGCTGCAAACTGGAATTAGGTTGTTTTGCTGTGAGTTGGCCACAGCTGTACTGATGTCTGCCTCTTTTTCCACCTTATGGAACCAAAAACAAATTCAGAAACTAACCAGAAATGCTTGTTTTCAGGAATCATGACCTGGTTACTCAAAAACAAAACAAAAAAGCAAAAAATCCAGACTCTGTTGTCAGCAGTTTCATGTAGGAACTAGTTTCTTGCTAACAAACTTCACTTGCCAACCATATTGCCCTGCAGAGGGAAGAAGCTGTGACAGTGTGAGAAGATGCCAACTCCATGTGGACTGCAAGTTTAGCTAGCTCCACCCATCTTTTGTTGGTAGATTATGATGATGATAAACTTTATCTGTATAATACTTATCAGAACCAGTGATAAACAGTTTCTAAAAAAAACACATAATAAACAAACGAAAAATTCAACAAAGAATCTCGAGTAAAGAATAAATTGGAATAAAATTAAAATGCAAAAATTAAAGTGAAGCCATTAAACCTGGTGTAGTATGGTGATGCTTGGATACAACTTGTCTGGACCAACAGTAAGAATTTCTGTTATCTGAGTTGAAAGTCAATAATATTTGCATTCATGTCCATTTCTTGGTGTTTATTAGACAGTTGTTCAGTTCAGAGAGGTTTGTTGAGTCTGTGGACTTGATTGGTTGATAGAGCGGTTTGTCATCAACGTAATGAAGGGATGAAAGAAGGATGGGCCCCATAATAGACCCGTAAGGACTCCAGAGTCACCAGTGTAAACAAAAAACCAATTCAGTTGGTCAGATATGAGCTAAATCACTGCATCCCAATGCTGCAGCCTCACAAACCAAACTTTATGGCCTGCTATATCAAATGCCGCACTTAATTCAAGCGCTATGAGAATGGAGCACTGTTAGCAGTAATAAATAGTCTTCGGGAAAGGTTTTGCTATAAAAGATAACTTTTGCGTCAAGTCCAGATTTCTTCTTTTACGTGATTAAAAAAATAACCTGTTTTACTGATTAACAGCACTCAAAGCCAGAGGAAGAATATGTAACCTGATCTGGTAACAATGTTATTTTGATTATAGATGGCTCATGTTTTTCTGTAAATGAGTAAAAATGCCTTCACGAGAAGAGCCGTCCAGTTACACTGCTTAGTAAACCCGAAGAGATGCAGCAACAAAATCAAGTGGCGCATAAAGTGATCGGTTGTCTAGATGAAATCAGTGAAATTATTCATCTGTTCTCAAAAATCTGACGCTCATGCTCATTTGACACAGTGTTGCATTTATCTTAATGCATGTGTATGTATATGAACGTTTTCTCTTGTACCCGCAGTATAATGACAGCATTCACATACCCAGAGCATGCAGGACTTTTCTGGAAACATGTTTTTGGTATTTATTTAAGATTCTTTTTTTTTTTCCCTCACATGAAAATAGCAACAGCCTACGCTTGTGCACAGCACTCGAGCACTGCTCAGTTATGTTGTTTGTCCTAGGAATATACAGCGATTGTTCCTGTGTTTACTCTCGATAGTCTCCACAGATGGCCTAATGGAGCTGTGGCAGTGCGGTGCACGCTGGCACGCAAACCAGCGGGAAACAAACGACAGCACTCCTAACAAATTCATTCTCACCACTCGGATCTTTTATTCCAGCTGTCTTCCAGAGTTTAACATACGGAGGATCTGGAGTGAGTAGGGAGCCTAGCTGGGAATTTCTGTTTTTGTGTAAAGGCACAAACCACAGGCTGAGGAAGTAACTTGGGGACACAGAGAGTATGAGAGTGTAAATTGGACTTGAGGGATGCTGTTTAAAGTCTGCTTGCTTCTACGTTGCATTCACAGGCACCCTCAGGGTGTTTTTGGCATTGACTTTACTGTTTCTGGAATTTTCTTCCTACATCCTGTCCGGCATTCCTGTCTCGAATCCCGTTGCCAAGCCAATAACACACACACACACACACACACACACACACACACACACACACACACACACACACAGCCTTGAAAAACACAGTGTTGGTTTAGCGGCCACACGGACACTCCGCCTGTCTGGCTTCATCTTTGAAGCGACACAAAAGAGGGTTCGAAGAACAACGCCCTCCCCGGAAGCTGAGGAGCCCTGGTTTCCATGGTTACACTGATGGCGCTTGTGTGCAGTTTGTGTGAAGTTGGAGTGTGTGTATATATATGTGCGAGGATGGAGGTAGGCGAGAGTGAGAAAGCGAGGTGTGAAAAACTGGATGAGCAGAGATGAAGGTCGAAGTGATCAGCTCGGCCGCTGTCGTCAGCGGCGAACAAAACACACGGGGGGGGGGGGGGAGCAAAACACATCAGCCGTTCCAAAGGTCGTCGTTTTGTTTACCGGGCAGTAAAACTTTTACCCTGCTATTGTGGAGGTCAGTGAAGTGTGCCCGATACGCTCTTCTCTGAGCTTTTGCTGCAAGACTTGTGGGGATGAGTGTATTTTTTCTGGCGGAGTTTGAGCGATTGAGGTGGTTGTATAACATCTCATCAAAACTGGAGCTGAAACTATCAGCCAGTTATTTGCTCAGTCAACACAAAGATTTATTAGCACCTGCTGTATTTTTGACAATTTGACGGTCTTAGTCATTTTTCCTACTCACTTGAATACAATCATGAGCTGTGGGAAAACGAGATTTTCTTTTTTAAGAATGTGTTTTAAGATGACGTTTATCTAACGTGGACTGCAGGGAGAGAGAGCGCGGGAGTGGGATATTTTGAGGACTTGACTGCTTGCTTAAGCCCGACTTTAAACACTAATTAGAGGGAGAGGCAGGACCGCTAGTGTCGGATCTAATTGACTGAACCTAGTTGAGATTGTATACAGAGGAAAGTGTGTGTGTGTGTGTGTGTGTGTGTGTGTGTGTGTGTGTGTGTGTGTGCGCGTGCGCGCGCAGCCGACAGAAACCACGCAGACTGCAGGAGCCTAAATTGAGGGACTCGTCTATTGATGTGCTGGCTGTTTGTCACTTCTCTCTCCTCTAATCTGAACTTTCATATAAAACCTGCTCATTAAAGACCTTTCGTGAACATACGTGTTGTTTTTTAATGCAGTCCGTACATAGACAGCACAGTTCTCAGGATAACATGTTGTGTGGGAGGACTTAATCTGTGTGGCCTGCAGTGCTGGATTTGCATAGCTCTTTTTAATAGATTTTTTTCAGCAAAGACACGAAACTCTCGCTTCCGCCCCCAGCAGCAGAACTTCCACTAAGGGTTTTGTGATTTGTATATACTCATTTAAAAGACGTGATTTGTCTTTCATTCGCTGACATGTGATGTAACGCCTTCAGAGGCAGATGCTGGGTAAATTTAACTTCCTCTTAATAGATCAGTAGTCAGCTTGCTGTGATCGTTTGTCATGCAGTTGAGGCTGAAACGGCCACACCTACACTGGCTCTTTGAGCCAGCGTAGTTAGGGCTGTGATTCTGGCTGCTTGCGGGCGTCTAGTGGAGTCTTGGCCTGTGCTCAGTTCCTGGGAAGTTTGTGCTGGTTTCCTGTCATTGTTGTTGGTAAGAGATTCTACCACCTCGTCATCGTGATCCTCTGTCCACCCAAACCCCCCCTCCTCGTGGGCAGCAAGAAGACTCTTAGCAGCTTAGTGCAGAGTAAACTGTGGTCTA